CGGACGCCCCCCCCCCCCCGGACCCGGTGGCCAAGACCCGGACAGTGTGAGTGCCACTGAAAATCAGCTTGTGTGCCGCCTTTGGCATGCGTGCCATAGGTTGCATACCCCGATCTATATATTCTCAGTGACTTTTTGGAATGGAGAATGCCCAGGCTATGATAATTGGTCAGAGTGAAGTCTAGCATGCAACTTGCTTCTCTCTAGTTCTTGTACTTTTTGACAAATGCTGATTAAAAGTAAAGTTCTGTTAGCATGTTACTGCTGCCAACCTGGCAGCTCTAATTAGAGCCCAGTCTGGCAGTTTGTTTTTAAATTATAGAGGAAGGTGTAATAACTCTTAAATATCATTGGGGTGCTAGCCATGTCCAAAAAGCAGCAACCCATACCCACAAAATTTCCCTAAAGCAATATCCTTTCCTTATATTTACATGCTTATTAGAGGTTCGTATTGAATCTCTAAAATCCTCCTTTTGTGATGTGTATTTTTAGTTGTTCCAGCACTGGTGTGTCTGTTGAATAGCAAGATGGCAATATACAATACTTTGACAGAAGTAGGCTGCTTCTGTGAATTATATTTCTGAATTCTCTGCAACCTCTCTTTTTACTATTGGATTTAGTTTGGTTGAGAGAACCACACATCTTCATTTCATGGCATAATTGCCAGCACTGCTTTGTAAATGGCACTCTATAACCTGTTGATCTTTACTCATTTTTTCAGTATAGAGTGAAAGACCGAGGTCTTCCTCAGTTTAGAATGGTTCTTGTATTCATATTGCTGGTAACTTGTTGGAAACCTTCATGCTTTCACAAAGTTGGCGACCACATGGATATCACCAAAGATCGGTCTTGTACTCCCCACTTTTCTGTGACCTGTCTCTCTTAATAAAACAATACTAACCTTGTTTTGTCCCATGCTCTATTACTATATTAAAAATTATTGCAATTATGCTCTTATTTACTTTCATCCATCTAGAAAGATCATCTTTGTGTACATTTATAACTGGTTGTACACTTACATTTTGTATGTAATTTTTAATTAATTTCTATTATGGTAGTGTTAAGAACCTCAGCACAGATTGGGCTTCATCATACTAAGTCCTATGCAAACACATAACAGAAAGATAGTCTCATAGACCTCATGTTCTAAGATTAGGCAAACTACAGTAAGCGAAGAGGAGGAGGATGAACAAGGATATAATAAAGATAGGTGCATAAGCTAGTCATAATGGTCAATGAAAGCCAAAACAGTGTTGTATTTTGGTATGGGAAGGGAAGTGTTGCTAAATAACCGTTATGTGTTCATGTCCTCATATGGTCTCAAGGAACTATTAATTTGATGTAGGTTCCCCTGTAACACTGGCATAAGATTGTTTGTTAATACATTGCTTTTCCTCAGTTTGCAGCAAGATGTCCAAGGAGACACCCAAAGCATGGTAGGAGTCGAGATGAATAGAATTCAAGAGTACAGCAAAATGTCTTGAGGGGAAAATAGCCATGTCTCTCAAGACAAAAACATCCCTCACAGATCTATCATCTGTAACCGGTTCCTTAGCAGCTGTGATATTGTTCAGGGCTTTAAGGTGGGAAAAGGTGGTTCTGAAGCGTGAAAGCTCCCTTGCTGATTGCCACACTCAGCATGCTAATTGTTTTGCTGTGGCCCTAGTGAAATCCTATGGCTTGAAGCTAGGTGGAAATGCTGTGATGGGTCCAGGCTTTTAGCACCATCTTGTGGTAGCCTCTTTAGTTGAAATCTCCATGAAGATTATTTTTCTGCAAAGCTAGTGCTCCGTTGTGAGTTTTCTGTCACCTTTTCTTACCTCAACTCTGCTTCAACTAATTTGCTGTGCTGGATGAAGAACTGGTGTCTCTGATCAAACACCTATTTATAAACAATTTTCCAGGAAAACCTTGTGGTGTGCAAGCTTCCCCTAGGCCTAGAGGGTCACGTGCAAAAGGTGTTCATGGGCCTTGTGTAACCAACACACCTTCTGTGTGTGGTGTTCTGCCCCATCTAGTGGCACCGAGACCACTTAGAGAGCAATTAATGAGTGTGCTCTACAGCCTTAGCTAACAGCCAGTTGGCTTTTTAGCTCATGTGGTGGTAGAGGCTCATGCACTAAGCTCCAGAGGGCCCAAGTTTGATCCCGCCCGTTGATAAGCAGGGTCTGTCGGCGTTACAAGTGGGGTCTTATCTGGGATTTCAACTGGGAAGAGACTGAAGCTCGGGACGTGCTTCCTCAGCTAGGGGAAGTATAAAGCAACAGAGGGTCCTGTGGCACCTTTAAGACTAACAGAAGTATTGGAGCATAAGCTTTCGTGGGTGAATGCCCACTTCATCAGATGCAAGAGCACCACCTGCATTCTCTAAGACTCTAAGTGGCACCAAGACCACTTAGAGAGCAATTAATGAGTCTGCTCTACCCCTTACCTAATAGCCAGTTGGCTTTTAGCTCATATGGTAGAGGCTCATGCACTAAGCTCCGTTCGATCCTGCTTGCCCATGACCAGGGTCTGTCGGTGTTACAAGTGGGACAGAACACCACACCCAGGAGGAGTGTGGGTTACACTTGCATGTAGACTTTTGTCTATGCACCTTTTACTCCTGTTCCAGAATTTCCTCTAAAACATCAATGTGGCATTAGTGGCTCCTCCATGCTTAATTTTTATTTTTTTAAGTGCCTTTGCATTCCCTTTACTGAAAGCCTGTCCTAGCTCTAATTTAGCATAAGACAATAACAAAATAAAGTAGACTTTTTTTAAAATAAAGATTTCACACATTTGAAACTCTTCTCTCCCGGATAGTTTCAGCAGCTCTGCCTACACAAGGGTAAAAGAAAGCTTACATTTGTGGAAAGTTGACATAAATGTGCATAGGTGCAGATTACCATGAATCAGAGTATTTTTTTTTCTAGCTTTCTGTGTTTCCAGGTGTGAAATGGGAGAGGATTGGGCTCTGCCATGTCTTCCTGGGGTAATCTCACTGTCTCATTCCCTCTGGGGCAGAAAGGCATCACACTGCTCTCTTTCCCTCTGAGCTTCCCATCTCTCTTCCCTCCCACTCTGTCCCTTCTATTTTTTCTGGTTTGTTGGGTGACCTGTGGGGAGGCAGGTCAGGGAGCTGGAGAAGCTGAAGGTTAGGGAGGCCTGGTGTTTGGATGGCTTAACCTTTGTGGGACGTATCTGTAGGTATAATACACAAATTAAGCATGTGGAAGATTGCATATTAAAAATTTTCCGGAGAGTATTTCTGTGTTATAATGGCTATTTGCAAATACATTGAATTAATAAGCAAGTAATGAATGCAGGAGGAGACAGAAGTAGAACTTGCGGGGGGGGGGAATAAAATACAACTCCTGATCATCAAAAACGTGCTCATTTTGTTTACCTATTTTCCCTTGTGATGATTCTCTTTAGGGTGTATTATCTGATCTCACGAAGGTAACCCGTCTCCATGGCTTTGACCCGGTGGTACTTGTCTTGGTGGTTGGAGGAGTGATGTTCGTTCTGGGATTTGCTGGTTGCGTAGGAGCATTGAGGGAAAACATCTGCCTTCTGAAGTTTGTAAGTAACTTGGTGGTGCTGTATGGTGGCTCAGGGAAGAGAAAGGATGGTGTCACAGTTAAAGGAGAACTGCTAAGTGAAACCAGACATTTGAATTAAGAGCAGATGTGTGTGGTCAATGTTCCTGCTGACGTGGCTGGGGCTGGTATCCAGAACAGCAGTACATTTAGACTTACCTCTTTCTTTCTCTTACGTTCTGGTATTGGAACACATTCCAGAAGTCTCACTGCAACCCATAGCACTTGTAATGTCATAAAATTAGGCATTCTAGGATACCTTCAATGAAACAGGAAATGTTGAAAGGATTTTGTGGAAAGTTTTTTTATAATTTTTTTTTCTTTAAGTTAAAATGCATTTCTCTTTTGAATGGTTGGTAGGTGGAACTGTAGGACCCCAGCACAGAAATCAGTGCTTAACTCAGTTTTAATGTTAATGTTACACTGGATCCAGAAGCTAACTGCTAAATTGAGAAAAGAATTGAAACAAAAATCCAGCTAGCTGCCTTTGTCAGGACCATTATTTTCATGTGTTGCCATCTCTGACTGGCTTATTCCTTTTTCATTATCTCTGTATTATAATGGACTATGACACAGTGCCTATGTTCCCTGCAGACTTTAAGACGACCAAATAAGAAGATAACTCCACCTATTGTATGTTTCTTCCCCCTGTGTTTAATTTAATTGGCCTTGTGTCTTGATCAGATTTGTACTTTGTGAGCATTTTACTGAAGTCCTTGTATCTACTTTTAATTGAGTTGAGACGTGGTTATATTTGAAATAAGAGTTTTATAATCTATGTCCAGTGACTTTATTTTGCAGTTCTGTGGAGCAATCGTACTTATATTTACATTGGAGCTGGCTGGGGCAGTGCTGGCTTTCTTGTTCCAGGACTGGGTGAGGGACCGGTTCAAGGAATTCTTTGAGAATAACATTAAATCCTACCGAGATGACATCGATCTACAGAACCTCATTGACTCATTGCAGAAAATTGTAAGTCATCCTTTAACTTGTCACATTTTCTTCCTCTTTTTCACCCTAAGAACAATCTTAGTCTTTTGAGGTTTTCCAGTTGTTGGGATAGCATTTCCTCACAGGAGACTAAAAAAAAAAAATTACTTACGTTCTGCCTTCTTTGGACTGCCTTGATTTTACTCAATGGTGTCAATAGCTGTGTCCCTCCAGTAAAATGAAGATTACTCTCAATACCTTAAAATAATTCTGCAACCAAGCAAACTGCATAGCTGTTGACTTAATTGTCACATTGCGTTTACGTGGACTTAACTGTCCATGTACACGGACACAGTGCAGGACCTTTCTGTTTCAGAAACCTAGACCTCTACCACTTGCCAAAGGAGAATATCTCAAGTATAGTGGTATTGGGTCTTATCCTCAATGGGCCAGTCTCAAAGGGTACTTCTTCCCTACAGTTAGCCTGGGTGATCAATGCCTGGGAGCCCAGGTTAGCCTAGCTCAGGGGTGAGCAGCCATACTGCAAAGCCCTACCCGAATTACTGTGCACTCACCTGCATGTATTACGAGGACTTCTGGGGGACATGCCCCATGGGCTTTTGTGCTTCAGTAAGCTGAGCTGCTCTCTGGTTCTTTCAAAATTATTTGTTGGAGAACTTCTTTGCCCTTCTGGGTATGTGGGAAGGCATTGCAGGCCTATCAGCTCTCAAGTGATTTAGCTTGTGTCCTGCAAAGTTGGCAAGTTACCAGTCTCACTGAAAGCAGAACCTGGGCTCTAACCCTGGGCCAGCTAGCCCAGATTGAAAGCACCACTATACTCTGATGAGAGATCTGTGTGTATGGCAGGAGGGGAGTTAAGAGCAACACCTGAGCAAGAGCCCAGGTCACTCTGTGCAGTGAAGGCCTATCCTAAAGAGTAAGACAATTCTACTAATGGGAGTGGTGTTAACATCCCATCCGTTAGAGGACAATTGCATGCATGCACACACCAGGATATTACAAGGCCTACAGTAATAACTGAGTGATGGTTTCTAGATCAGTTGGCCAACAGCTTCTTACCATAATGTATGCAAGGCAAAGAACACCTCTAATGCTACCCATGTGCTCAGTAAGCACTTCATCACGGACAAACTTTCTAATAGAACTTACACAATGGTTATTCTTTGATGTGATCTCACACAGGCTGTGGTGAAGGGGGTCAACTTCCTCTGTCCAGTGTTTTCCCCCCATGGCACAGAGGATCTTTACAGGCAATTTCTTTCCATCCTTTATGGGCTAAGAACCAGAAATCAGTCTCTTAGCATCGCTACCAGTTTCTGAATCCTTGGCAATCTTGCACTTGCCTTCCACTTGGATGGTTGATGCAAGTAGCGCCAGCAACAGCTTCCCCTGCCCCAATGCTCTTTTTGTCCATTCCTCCAGGTGTTAACCACTAGATGTAGAAGTGGTTAAAGACTATCTTTCTGCGAGCTCAGATAGTCATGTAGACCCTTGGAGATGTTCTAATTCTCAGATTTCTACACTGGCAGATGCCATAGGCAATTTGTGCAATGTGGTGCTCTTTAGTAGACTTGATTAGGTCACCACAGCTCATTCTTACCTGCTCACAATGAGTTCTCAGCATCAGTAAATGTCTCAGCTCAGCATACTATTTTCATGTTTCCTGGTGTTGCTATTGATCCAGGTTTAATGCAATGAGACAGGCTAATGTGCTAAGCTGATTTACAGGTGAACCCTTATTAAATGCTCTTAATAAAAATAAAAATGCTAAATTTCCCCAAAAGAGAGTTCCACAGCTTGATTATCAGGCTAAGAAATGTGGAAATAACAAAGCCAGAAAATCTCCAAATAAGCCTCACTCACCCACAGTGGTAACAGTTAGGCAACAGGGAAACAACTTGACATCCATCACTAAATGTAGCTCTGTAAGATTGAGGAAACCCTTCAAGAAGGTACTGCCGTATTCTTTCAGTGCCACGTTGAAATCTGTCTTCTAACTAGGCATGGGCCGACTTGCAGTGCCTTCAAGATGTGACTCTGGGATAGTGAAAGAGCTTTTTGTATACAGCTCATTGCACTGACTAATGCAAAGTCATATTACCTTGTGGCTTACATTTGAGCAGGGTTTCTCCTTTATAGCCTTACCTTACTTGCACAGACTGATTGGCAGTTTTAGTAGGTGCATGGCTTCTAGCAGTGATTTTTTTGGGAGGAGGGGTGGGGGAGAAGTGGTAAGGGAGAAGGGGTGGATGAAAAGGCGGAAATCCACTTACTGTTGTCTCCAAGTTATGTACAACCTTTGAACTATATTGATATAAGGAAGTAAAAGGAAGGTATTGACCCAGAATAATTTTTAGCAGTTTTCCCCCCTCCTTCTAACCACTATTGCAAATCTTTTTTCCTCCAAAGTTTAATGCATTTTTTCTGAATTGCCCAAACTATTGTGACACTGTCCATTCTAAAACACTTATTTTCCAGTGTTGAGTGTTGGATGTTGCTGTTCCTGAAGTTATTGTTGTTTAGTTTTTTCTCTCTAATGGAACACAGTATATTTGGTCCACACTTCCGATAACATTTTAAAATTATAATGGAGACTTTTGAAAATGTCTTGTTTCATTAACCAGGCTATTTTCTCTGGATCAGTAAATTTGTTTGTTCGATTCTTTGTCTTGTTAGCTCAAATTATGTATATATCTATTTGGTGAAAACATTTCAGGAATGTGTTTCTGATTAAGCTTTGTGAATTTTGTGGGTTTTCTATACAAATTTCACAGTAAAATGGGGATGGGAAAATCCTACTTTGTAGTGGAGATTTTAAGTGTTTAATTAGTTTCATAAAACACTGACATTTTGGGAAAGTTCAATCTCTGTAACATTTTTCTATATTTGCTAATGGCAAATGCTTGTGTAACTGGTCTGTAGAGGGTGGGACAAAGTTGTACCCCATAACTATTCAAAATTTGCCAGCTGTAGTTTTGCTTTGCTTAACAGTACCTCATCTAAAGTATATAAACACATAAATTGCTTGATTAATATGAGAATGAAGCCCTCTTTATATAAAATAGGTACAGCATGAGTGGACAGCATGGTTTCCATAATGTATCTACCTGCAGCCGGTGGGATCAACTCATAGAAGTGAAGTGATATTTCATTTTCTGAGGCCAAGTCTGTCCATAGCCTTTCTTCTGATTCTACCATTTAGAGTGCCAGTTGTGATGACATTTCTTGTCATGTTGATGTCTGTCTCCAGGAACTGGATGGAAGTAACAATTTTAACAGATACCATGGTGTAGAGCAATGGTTTTCAAACTGCGGGTCGCAACCCAGTACTGGGTCGCGGAATGTAAGGCACTGGGTCATGGCAGCTCCAGTCAGGACCGCCGACCGGGCCGTTAAAAGTCCCATTAAAAGTTCTGTTGGTGCTGCCCGGCTAAGGCAGGCTAGTTTCTATCTGTTCTGACACCGCACTGCACCCCAGAAGCGGCCAGCAGGAGGTCCGGATCCTAGGCGGGGAGGCAATGGGGCTGCCCCCACTCCGAGCACCGGCTCCCAGCCAATGGGAGCTTGGGGGGTGGGGGGGGGGTGATGCCTGCAGGCAAGAGCCACACAGAGCTGCTTGCGTGCCTCTGCCTAGAAGCCGGATGTGCAACTGGCCGCTTCCGGGGTGCAGCACGGTCTGCGGTGCCAGGACAGGCAGGAAGCCTGCATTAGCACCCCTGCTGCTCTGCTGACTGGGAGCCACCCAAGATAAGACCGTGCCCCAACCCCTTGCCCCAACTCTGAGCCCCTCCCAAACCCCTCATCCCCAGCTCCGTTGGGTCATGGGCATCAACAATTTTCTTCAACTGGATTGCCAGAAAAAAAGTTTGAAAACCACTTTTGTAGGGTAAGCAACATGGTGCTGGATACTAGGGACTTCAGAATTCTAATTCTTGCTTGGCCATTGATTTACTCTGTGGCCTTAGAAAAGTCACTTTACCTCTCTGCCTCAGTTTCTCTATCTGTTAGACAAGTGTTCTCTGCTCAGTTTATCTCACAGGACTATTATGAAGATGAATTTCTTTATACAGCACTTCTAAGTTTTTTTTTCTTCATCTGTTGCAGAACCATTGCTGTGGTGCTCAGGGGCCAGATGACTGGGATCTTAACATTTACTTCAACTGCAGTACTGAAAGCAAAAGTCGTGAGAAGTGTGGGGTCCCCTTTTCCTGCTGTGTTCCTGATCCTGCTGTGAGTTGTTTCCTGGCTTTGTATTTCTATATTATTATTGGAGAATTCTGAAGGGATGTGCTTCCTGAATATGCTGTAATGTCTAGGGTTTTAAGAAGAAGGGAAATAAAGATTGGGAGGAAGAGAGTTTATTTTCCAGCATATTTTCTCCTTTTCTATGTGTTTGGGAGTGGGAAGAGTATGAAAAGACCTAAAGAAAAAGAACTGGAAGAGTAAATGAAGATGATGGAGGGGAGAGCCTCTGAGAATGTATGCTACATTTGCTCCTATCTTGCTGGAGAATCTGTCTCGCTGTACATTGCTATTCCAGATTCCGCAGAGATCCAAAGAAACCTTAGTCTATTGCTGACACACACAGGTGTCAGAACTAGAGAAACTATTTTTGTATCCCTGAAGCCCGTGGATGATGGGTTTAGATATTGTTTTGTTAGAAATCCATTGTTTCCTTGAGTTCCTGGTCTCTTGTTCCCAAAGCTGATGGGATCTGGGAGTTCTATCTGAGCAGTGTGCTCAGCCCCTAGGGTGAAGGGTCTTAAAACTGTTCTATACCCACCCTTGTGATAGATACAATAGCAAGGACTCACTGGCTCTATTGATAAAATGAGTAATCATATTGGCCTCAGTGGGATTTATGCGCTTTAGTGCTTTGCTGGATTCGGGCCCAAAAGCAGTTGGTCTGGCTTGCTTGCCTGGCAGTGACATGAACCTTGAGTTGGGCATGAGGACTGTAGGATCTCAGTGCTTCAGAAGAGATCTGAAGGACGCCCCTCTCTCACGGCTTGTGTTTTTGTGTGTATGGTGTGTTTTTGTTTTTGTTTTGTTTTTTTAATAGCAATCTGAATTAGTCCCCCTCAGTTTGATTTCATCACAAACTGTTGTTTCTGGCATTCGCTACTCTGAAACACCTCTTTGCACAAGATGCTATTTTTGGCATTTAATTCCTATAACTGCAAACTATGGTAAATTGACAACTATAATTATGAAACAAACAGGTTTTCATTTTTATTTTATTTTTCTTTGCTTTCCTCTTAACAAAACTGTGGTCTTGAAATGAATCTCAGAATTGCTCACACACACAAGTATCTCTTTATCTATTGAGGCCACAAATAATTTCAGTAGTCTCTGTGCTCTGTAAGGCTTAGAGTTCAGTATGCTTCAATATCCAGTCCTATTTTTAGGGTTTGTTAGAATTTTAGAGTCTGGTTACTTGGTAGACTTTTGAACTAAATGCACTAAAAATAATCCAGGTCAAATAGCTTGCGATACGTAGGAGTCCAGCTATTAGCTGATCAGAATCACAAACATGCCACCAAAAGGGGGAAGAAAGGGAGCACGACTGGCTTACAAAAATCCCCTGCATTCTTGTGTAAATAAATAGGCTGGGTTTTTTTTTTTAAATCCCTTCTTCAAAACGTTCAACTGTTGTTGCCTGGGACTTCAGCCACACAACTCCATAAAGCTGGTTGAAGTCAGTTGGCTGAAGTGACGCAAGTTTTTGAAGGTGTAGGTATTTGGTCGTTAGCCTTTCAAGAAGTAGGTGTTGGAGATGTCTGCAGAATAGTGATACAGCTGAGGGGGCTGTAATTTATTATGTTGGGTAGGCCTTGGTGATAAAAGCTGAGGGGTGGAAGAAACAAGTTTGTAAGGATATAGTGGGGTCTATAAAGTAATGGGATAACATATCCATGTACTTCAGCATGTATCATGGTCTTCTAAAAAGATAAGCTTTTAAAAAAACATGAAATTGTGGAGCATGAACAGAAGATAGAAAAGTTCCCTCAGTTGGTGTTGGTTGTAGTTTGATCATGAGTCTTCTAACAGATAAACATCTTCCTGTCAACTCAAGCTGGTAGGATTATATTAATATTTCTAACTTTTTCCCCCCCCTCCCAGCAAAAGGTTGTGAATACGCAATGTGGATATGACATCAGAGCACAGGTGAGCATCTGCTACCCACAGTCTTGGTGTTTCTAACTGGTGGTTGTTCAGATGTGTGATCTAACACACTGATAAATTAGATTGGGTCACTCTTTTAAAAAAAACTTAGGCCAAAATATGTATCTTTTAAATTTGAGAAACTAAGAGTAATAGTCAGTGTTTATTCAGGACCTATAACATAGAGCAGCAAGGCAAAACTATGAGAACAAATAACCGTATGCTGGTCTATACCATCACCTGCATGGAAGCTGCTCTGGGAATTTCCTGTACCCAGTCAGAGGGTCTCCCTGTACTAGGGACAGGGGGAGAGAGACCGTGGATATGATCAGGAGTGGTGCCAAGGTTTTTGGTGCCCTAGGCGGGGGTCCTTCCGTGCTCCTGGTAGTCGTCAGCAATTCTGCAGTGGGGGGGTCCTTCGGGGCACTTTGGCGGCAGGTCCCGGAGCGAGTGAAGGACCCGCTGCAGAATTGGCGCCGAAGACCCGGAGCACGGAAGGACCCCCCGCCGCCAAATTGCCGCTGAGGGCGGCAAAATGCTGCCCCCCCAAATCCTGGTGTCGCCTAAATGGAATCGCCGGCCCTGGATGTGTTTCATCCGCGGGAGGTGGTGAGGTGGGGCTGTTATCACTGAAAGAAGAGACTCAAAGTTCAAGTGTATTCTAAATAAGTTTCTACACTTCTGGTTATTTATCTGAACTTTTGAAGGGTGTTCCTAATTAATAGTCAATTTGCAGCAAGAAATATGTACTGATTCATGAAACTGAAGACAATCTGAGTTACATGTCTCTAGTTCTTGTACTTCTGGATTCCTTTTAAAAATACTAGTTCTGTCAACTAAAGACCTATACAAATAAATGTTGGCTGCATAGTTATAGTAAATATAAGTGGAAAAAGTAACATGCTTTTTCTCCCCCCTCTCTCTACACAGAAGAAAAGCCAATGGGACAATTTAATTTTCACCAAGGGTTGTATCCCTGCTCTTGAAGCTTGGCTACCCCGAAACATCTACATCGTTGCAGGAGCCTTCATAGCTATCTCATTGCTGCAGGTCAGTGGTTTCATTCTTTTACTGCTACAGTAAAAGCTTCAGCCTCTCATCTGCCTAATATATGGTAGTTGGAGGAAAATAATATTTTAGAAAATTTGAAATCCTTGGGTTTTGTGAGAACAGTATGGGAAAAATTTAACACTGTTTTGCAGGATAAAAGTGTATGTGGTTTTATTTTAATTTTTTAGCTTTGTGAAATGTTAACTCTCTTTAAGGGAAAAAAATGCATGGCTTTTAGGTTTTTTAGTCACTAGTAAGGACAAGGCTGCAAATTGGGGAGATGTTGTAATCTCTCATTTCCATAGACCTATGTTCAAGCTTGCCTTTGTCACAAGTTAAAGTAGGTTTGCTGGTCTCATTGCATTTTCACACCCCTTTTCATCAATATCCTAAAACCACCACATAATCTGGTACCAATGAACCTATTTGGTAGTCTGTGCTCAGGAGAAGCCCAGGACTAGAACAGTAGCAATGTCTGATCTTTAACTGGCTCATCTTTGAGATCATAGAATAGGGTTACCATATGTCAGGATTTTCCTGGACATGTCCGGCTTTTTGGTCCTCAAATCCCCGTCCGGGGGGAATTGCCAAAAAGCCGAACATGTCCGGGAGAATACTAGTCCCCTGCTTACCTTAGAGCGGCTCCAGCAGGCTGCGAGCTGCAGGCGGATTCCCCCGCGGCGGCGCCTGCTGCTGCTCCCCCCAGACACCTCAGCTTTGTGTAGCTGAAGAGCCGAGCTGCCTGAGCGCTACCGGCTTCCCTGTTTGCCGGGCAGCCTCCAGACCCTCCTGGGCTCCGGCTGCGCTGGGGAAGCACCCGGCTGGGGGCGCAGGGTCTGGAGGTCTGGGGGCTGCCCAGCAAACAGTGAAGCCGGTAGTGCTCGGGCAGCTCGGCTCTTCAGCTGCACAGAGCTGAGGTGTCTGGGGGAGCAGCAGCAGCCGCTGCCACCGCCGTGGGAGAATCCGCCTGCAGCTCCCTCCAGACACCTCAGCTCTGTGCAGCTGCCCGAGCACTACCAGCTTCACGGTTTGCCGGGTAGCCCCCAGACCTCCATACCCTGCGCCCCCGGCCGGGCGCTTCTCCTCCCAGGCTCCGGATGCGCTGGGGAAGCACCTGGCCGGGGGCACAGGGTCTGGAGGTCTGGGGGCTGCCCGGCAAACTGTGAAGCTGGTAGCGCTCGGGCAGCTGTTTCGCGTGGCTGGGAGGGAGGAGGGGGAATGCGGGGCGCTCAGGGGAGGGGACGGAGTTGGGAAGGGGCATGGCCAGGGCCCCGTGGAGTGTCCTCTTTTTTTATATATTTTAAATATGGTAACCCTATCATAGAAGTCTTCAGTGACTAGGTCTTTTCCTTAAATCAGTAAATTATTTTACATTGCATGATGTACCCACAATGAAATGTAATCTGAGAAAATTGAATTTTCAAAAATGGCCCAACTTTTTGTGAAAAACTTAAGTTTTAGCGCTTTTTTGGGGGGGGAACACATGCACAACCTTTTCCCAAAATTTTCAACCAAAACCAGTTTTCATTGAAACATTGCAAAAGTTTGAATGTTGGGGGTGGGTGGGTGTTCAATTTGAAAAAGGCCATTTCATGGCAATTTTTTTGAAAATCAGTTTTGGTGAAAGGCTCAAAATGATATGATGAAATTTTTCACACTAAAGTTTGTGGTAAATGTTTCATCCCTTTGGCACAGTTAAATGTGAATTAAACCTACAAAAAGCTTTCAAAGTGGAATATTGACTGAAAGAGAGAGAGAGGGTCAGGCTATATGATGATCAAAGGGATCGAATGCAAGGCATATGAGCAAAGACTGAAGGAACTGAGTATGTTTAGTTTGGAAAAGAGGAAATTGAGGAGGGATGTGATAGTGGTTTTCAAATACTTGAAAGGCTGCCCTAAAAAAAATGGAGAAAAGTGTTTTGTTTTTTTTTCTCTCTCTCTTATCACAGACAGCAGGACAAAGGACAATGTGTTCAAACTACTGCATAGCAGTTTTAGATTAAATTATCAGGAAAAACTTTCTAACTTTTAAGAACAGTAGGACAATGAAACAGACTGCTTACGGAGGTTGTGGAAGCTCCTACACTGGAGGTTTTCAAAATGAGGTTGGACAGCCATCTGTCTTGGATGGATTAGACACAACAAATCCTGCATTTTGGCAGAGGGTTAGCCTGAGTAGATGACCCTTGAGGTCCCTTCTAACCCTCTGATTTTAAAAATCTTCAAGTTGAATCACTGAACTGGGCAGAAAAATGGAAATGCCTGAAATGTTTAAAAGTAACTGAAGTAATGGGAGAGTGTTAGACCTAAAGGAACCTAGCTGTGCCTGGCTCCCCACTTGGACACACAGAAGTCACACACAGAAGTCATGTGATTGTTCCCAGCCCTGTAGAAGTGTTACATGAAAGCATCTTTTTTTGTTTTATGGGCCAGATTATGCCACCCTTACCCCCCCCTCCTTATCCCTGGGTAGTGTGTAGGGTGAGAAGTCCCTGATCCTGGACATATCTTAAGCATAACTTCACTCACATGAGCAGTTTCATTAACTTTAATGGGAACACTCATTTGAGAAGAGTTATACATGTGCTAAAGTGTTTGCAGAATTGGAGCCTGACTAAGGGTAGCAGAATCTGGCCCTTTACTCAGAGCAGCCTCACAACTTGGTAATCTTCTGAATGTGTGTTTTCCCTCCCAGACAGTTTACAGGTTTTGTGTCTTTTTGTGTTTGTCTTTAGATTTTTGGGATTTTCCTGGCCAGGTCACTGATTTCGGATATTGAAGTTGTAAAGGCAGGTCATCTTTTCTGAAGACTAAAGTAGACACCAGCTGTGAAGACAAATACATTTTCACTGCTATTGATTTGACATCAAGGTGAAAAGAAATTGACACACACACAGGCCTTGGAATGCTCCAGGTTTTAAAAGCCTTATTTTTGTATCAGCCAGATGTTACTCTGCTTCTGCTTTTGCTGCAGGCTGGTGCAGAAAGAACACACTGCTTCCTCCCCCAGATCCCCTTCTCCCCAATGCAACATCTGTTTCTTTTTCCAAGGGGAAGACTAGATTTTAAACCTCTTTTGATGTGGAAGAGATTCCCCTAAATCTATGAAGGATGGACTAAAAGACTCCAGTAAGCAGAAATGGAAACTGCTATAAACCAGTCCCTTACCTTGAAGAACTTGCTGCTGTAAGGGCTGTTTTGTCTTGACTCCCAGCTACCATCATTGGAGGTTGCAAATGTTGCATTCATTATGTGGATCATAGCTGCATCTGTTATGGTGTTTGTCATGGTCTTGGAAGAGAGTGTCCTAAAGATCGACAATGACCACGTTGATGGACTAGTCAAAGGAGGTTACTTAATGTCTATTCTCAAAACATTGTAGTCTGTTCTCGAAACACCAAGCATTTCATTGTGTCCTGTTTGAATGGAAGGCCCAGGTAGTTATGTCATTGGATTATTGGGAGTCATGATAGTCTTGGTATTAGAGACCGTAAAAAAATGCCATTAAGTCTCCAGTTGTCAGATGGAACCTCAGCTGTGCAGAAGTAGGGAATGTCCCTATATGACCTGAGCTAATGTAGATATTTCAGAAGGGACTCAAATGCTTGAGTAACAGAAGCCACTTATTTTGAAAGTTCTTGCCAACATAAGTTTCTTAAGAGGGAGTAATTTAATTATACATTGATAGCATATTTGGAAATCTTTTCATGAGGGTAGGTGGATTCTCTGATGCTATTTCTCCTTTTTAGATGTTTGTAAATAGTTTTAATTTATAGAGGAGGAAATCTCACCATTTGCTTACACTGTTCTGTAGAGCAATTACTTCTAAAAAGAGTGATATCTGCTGGGCTGAAGGCATTTAAAAATGCTGCTTGGTACAAGAGATCACTGAATATGTGATTGTATCCGTCAAGAGCTCTCTAGTCTGCCATCTGTTCTCTTTCACACCTGTCCACTGCACTGTTGTTTATCATCTTCTTTGACTGTTGATTGCTATATTAGGACTAAAAAGAAATTAAAGGACAAGCTAAACTCTGTTAGGCCTTTGATTCAGGATTTTCCAGGCTAGTCAAAAGCTAATATAACGTACATAAGAGTCTAGTGGAGCACTGGAGTTACTAGCATTAATTTATTTAAAAAAATATTTTGAATGCATTGTTGTTTCCCATTCCATTTGTCCTTTGCTGCTCAGACTTTCCTGCAAAAATGCCAGATCGAGTCATGCTGAAGAAATGCTCAGAGTTGCGTCTCCAGAATAATGCTGTGAGCCCTGGCCCAAAGTGAGTGCAGCCCCCATTGAAATCAAATGGGTGTCGCTCTTGTTTACACCAGGGATGAAATTAAGGCCTTATGACGTTTCCTGCAAACTGGGGTGCTTAAGACCTGATCCAAAGTCCTCGGAGGCCAATGGAAAGACTCCCATTGACTTCAGTGTCCTTTGGATCAGGCCTATAGTGCTAGTCCAAACCATTCTTCTGCTCTTCTGTGAAATCAAAAGTCAGAATAGAATTAACTGTAAAAGCTGAAAGGTGTGATACGTAATAAGAAACTCTTTTAAATAGTTGTTGCAGTGTCAATTTTACTATGGGATATTTACTAACAAACTGTTCACTGCTTGTAATGGCACCCTATTTTTCAGGGATCGCAGTTACTTGCAGTGCCTAATGTAGTGTAAATTCTAGTAAAGTATATATTTTTGTAATGATATTTTACTACATTAATGCTTGTGTTTCCAAAGTGTTATGCTTTCTTAGAATACCAAACTTCTGAATATATCTTTTTATATACATGTGTTATCTAAGTATTAATGAGCAATTCACTGGAAGAAAGGTGATACCAATAGGGATCTGTACCAGCCTTTCTTCCATGAAAGCTAGAAGAAGGCTGCTTTGACATTCTGTGAAACATTTCATGGACAATGCTATATTTTGTATGTGGCTTTCAGCTGAGTTTTCATGTTTCTTTTTCTTGCCAATGACTGAGACAGAACGGGAAAAGGAAGCCTGTCTAAGAATGGCTGATTTCCTCAGAGACAGACAAAGAATACAGTGTCTATTGTATTCTTCTGCAAGACCTGAAGGTAAAATCTCCAGGCATATGCTGTGACTTTTTTTTTCTTTTCTTTGATCTGCAACAAGAAGAAAAACAGTAAGTAGGAGAAGCTGGAAAGAGTAGGGTTACCATATTTCAGCAAGCAAAAAAGAGGACGGGAGTAGCCCCGCCTTAGTCCCGCCCTGCCCTAGCCCCGCCTCCATCCTGCCCTAACCCTGCCCCTGCCCCTCCCACTTTCCCTCTCAGAACCACCAACCCTCCCCCCGCTCCTTGTCCCCTGACTGCCCCCTCCTGGGACCCTTGCTCCTAACTGCCCTCCAAGACCCCACCCCCTACCT